CTGCTGAACTAGAAACTTTTTCTGAGAAATTAGTGATTATGACATAATAAAATGCCCTTTCTGCTACTCCCTGCTACCATTTTTTCTCCCAACCATTTGTCATTCCAAAGAAAATAGAAGCCTTCTTTATAAAAGTTAGAGCTGTTGAAGTTCTCCCAATAGAAAGCTGTGGGAAAATGGCACAATATCTTTTTTAAATATTTTTTTTCCTTTTAATACTAAAAGGCAGGGACTCCGAGGGCAATAGAAACTGATGAGATGAATCAGGTAGATGGCTGATGTGAGACCCAGAGCCGCCTCCAAAAGAAGCTGTCACTTAAGCAAAGCAGGCTGGGGCAGCGGCGCGTCCCGGCCTCCCGCGCTGCTCCCATGGTTTCTGTGCAGAGAGGACCGAGCTGCATCCCCGCTATATCCTCGGGATGACAAATAGAGGAATACGGGAACTAGGATAATAACATCTCAGGTGACCTCTCAGGGACAGTCGCGGCAGTTACAAGAGAAACAGCCTAAATACATGGGATGTAAATCAATATATTCTAAACTTGCTCTCTTTTGGATTTCTCCTGCCTTCCAACTTTATTTTGCTGTGATATAGAAATGATTTGAAGAAATATGAGAGTAGCACAGTTAACACAAACCATTTTGCTGTTCTTAATAAGTCTCACAATTCCAGCCTGGCAGTGCAGTGTAGGGTCATGCTGTACGTTTCATTCCACAGTACGACCTCAACTCTATTGTTTTAATCAGAGCTGAAACTTGGACGCAGCTAGATGTATAATATTATTCATGGCTGACATGCTAAATTTATTTACTGAGGTTGACACTGGAGGAGTCTAGATGTAGGTTGGAAAGATCCTGAAGCTAAATGTGAATTCTAATTTCTGATCCAAGTTTTATCAAAATACAGTTGACTCAGTGCATCTATTTCCTGAAATTCTACAACTAATTGTAAGTTTTTGCATGTAGAGACCATCAGGTAAAGTTATCAACTCTTTGGGTATACTAAAACATAATAAACTAAATTTTCAAAATTAGGCATATAAGTTCTTATCAAATGAACACAAATACCTATTATTCATGCGGAAAGCAATAAGACAGTCAACACAGCATGCAAAAGCCCAATCACTGCTTTGGATACACACGCAACCACATAAAGAATATATATATATACACACACACACACGCACACTATAAATACCACAGCTGGCTGTACATAATTCGAGCACTTAAAAAACATATCTTTAGTCATTGCAGTTATCCAAATGCAATTAAGAAATCATCTAATTTTTAAAAATCTGGTCTGTAGATCTGGTCAATAATCTGTCAAATAAATGCAATGTAAATAAAACAATAAATAAATGCAAAGAGAACACAAGGTAAGTGGAGGAAGAGGACAGACTTGAAGTGCAGAACGTGGCAAAGCTCCCCTCTGAGCTGAGCAAGTGGTGGCAAGTTACCAGGCTGCCAGGGAAAACTGACTCAGTGTGATTTTTCTATGGCCTTTGGAGCATCTTAAGGGCATAGCTCTCAGAAATCAACAGAAATTTCCTTAAGAAGCAAAGTAGCATTAGTAGCAGTTAAAAGACAAAATATGTTGAAAGAAAAGTATGAACAGAAGTGTCATGATCACAAAGCATTTCAGAAATGAAAATGCAGAGGAATAAAACACTGTCTTGTACCAGACAACTAAGGAATTATTGTAAAAGTGACTTAATGACTCACCTTAAAGGAGATTTCATACTGCTCTCCTCCCCATATTTCTAATCCTGGATCATAGCCGCCCAGCTCCCAGAACCATTTTCGGTTAACGGCGAAGAGTCCTCCAGCCATAACAGGAGACCTGGAGAAGACATGAAGCAGACTGGGAATGGCAGGTGCAAGAAAGGGAGAACATTGACAAGGGGCAGGGCTGGCAGTAACACAGATGCTGGCGTTTGCGCGTGCCCTTCGCTGTGTGCCCTAAACCTATGGAGGCAGCAAACAAAGTATATTGCAGGCAAGCAGCATCTCCCCTTTGAGACCCCAGAAGGGCTCCAGCTGAAGAAGAACCGGCTGCGTGAGGCATGGTAGACGCTCACATGCACACGTATTTCTTCTCTAAACAAATTCTGTTTATCACCAAATAAGCCCATTTAACACTGAAAGAAAATGACTCTGGAAACATGCAAAAGTATTTAATGCAATCGCTGTATTCCACATACATTAACGCACTTTTGAAAACGAGTTTTGCAAGTGAGCAAAACTTGTCCATTCATTTCAGTCCCACGGGTGGTGGCTAGCAGAGGGTGGAAAGGTGGCAGTGGGTGGCTGCAGAGCAGTGCTAGCTGGTGAGAATTAAATACCTGCCCTCCTACAGTGGCATTTAAAACTAGGAAACACTGTTTTTAACAAACTAATTCTATTTTCCTCTCGAGATTACATTTTCTGAAAACACACAGTGGCTTTGCTAAAAAAGCAGAAATAATTTAACTAGCAAGGCCATGCTCTATAACATACACTGAATGCTAAAATATTTTTACTTTTATTGACATTTCATAGTTTAGATATTGACTGTTCTCTCCACATATGAAAAAAATCCAATAGAGGTTTTATGAGAAACCTTCCCCTGGAGATTCTGACTACTACAATATATTTTCAGTTCCTACCAAAGTAAATCTAATTACAACATGCCCCTTGTGACTACAGGTTCTAAATAATCAAAACACCATGTCCACTTATAAGGACGGAGTTGCATGAAGAACGTTTAGAACTAAATCTTTCCTGGAGAAATAGAGTCCTAGAGAACACTGGGGAAATGCAGGTTTGTGCTAATGCTCTTAGGTACAGTAGCTTTCACAAGTATTCCTCTTGACACAGTGAACAGACTATGAAAAAGGTAATCTCCTCAGCAGGGAAGTCAGATAAAAATGAAAAAAAAAAACAAACAAAAGAAAAAGAGAGACTTCAAACTGAGAAATAATTGGCAGACACTCACAGATTATACTTCATCTATAGATTTTCCAAGTTATCACACTGAGTAATGAAGCCCCTTGTTATTTAGATGCTAGTTCATGAAAGCTCAGAATATTTATTACGAATAGCAAAACTACCAAAAGGTGGCTGAAACAGCATGCAGATTTCTCACCATATACTTTTTTAACTTTTTTTTTCATGTAACGTTGCTCTATTCATTCTTGCTCCACACTTGTTGCTTTGCAGAGAGTGATGGAGGGGACCGAAAAAAAAAGAATGTCTTTCTGGCTTTTACTGGAGTGGGAAGAGTAAAATGCTGTGGGAACCTGACTGTTTGGCACTGAATGTGTATTCCATTCCACACACAGTTACTGCAGAACAGGCCTTAGATTGTCTCCAAAATACGAAGACAGAGTCTAACTTCACAATCATTTCTGATATGAAAAGGTCTTTTGTAGTCAATAGGACCCTCACACAGATAAGAACTGCACTGAGCCCAAAGGAGAAGAATTTATCTCTTGTTTTGCGGCTTCCATATAGAAATGCCAAGTACAAAACTACGTTTGTAGAAGTCATTTTTTTCATGAAATATCCTTCCCAGACACTTAAACAATCTGACTTGAGATACTGTAGCATAATATTAGGTGAGTAGCTACAGTAGGAAACTGTAAAAGATTCCTAGTCAGAGATTTCAAAGGATTGCAAAAGATTTGGGACAAAATCTCCCAAAATACCAGCCTGGAAAGACTGAAGGGCTAAGGTTACTAAACTTAAAAGTATGCATAAAAAAACTTCTACAAGAGTATTGCACAGTCTAACTATACCTTTAACTATAACAAGTTAAAGTCAGCTGATACAAAAATAACACAGGATCTCACAGATTCCTCTGCTGAGATGAAAAGAGGCAGGCAAACAATTAACAAATAAAGACAAGATCTGCCCACTGTAATTGCAAATCTGGAAGGAGCATCCAGTCAATGGCATATTTCACTGTACATTGCTTTGAATAAGCCAGACCCACTAAAGACTTTGTGCTGAACTACCGAACAAAAGCACCAAAAAGATGCTCCATTTTATACAGAATATGCTAGAGAAACTGGGGTACAGTACAAAAAGAGGTGAAGACTCGGTTACTCACATGAAATGAAGTGAACGTGGAAAGAAGCAGGATTTTTTTTATGAAGAACTGATGAAATCCAACTCAGATTAAAATAAATGACAAAAATATGAATTATCACAAGTTGCTTCAACTGAAGATAACATGATAAATGCTAAATTAGCATGGCCATTTTGCAAAGATCTGTGAATCATATTGGTCATGTGGGTTGAGAAAAGACAGTTGGAGAAAGATCACCAAGCAAGAGAGTAATATATTGCACATAGAAGAAGATGCTGATGTAGTCAAAGTCCAAGCAAATGTGGCTCAGACTATGACAGGCCTCAATTAATTTTTAAAGACGACAAGTTGAAAAGAGAACTCTCTCTTATATACCGATTTTTTTAAACCAGAGCTATTTAAAAAAATCTATTTTTTAAATATCTTTCTTCTAAATCTTTAAATCTTTCTGCAATACATTATTTCTTCTTATCATGTTAATCTCTCTTATCAAAGCATGAGTAATCACCCTCTTTATGAAATTATCAAAACTGGAAAAGTTAAACCTGTATCTGGTGACGTTAAATTATAGGATTTAGTTTTTTCTCCCAATAACAAAAGTGCGGACCTTTGAACAACTTCTCCCCTTATCTGATAAATTTTGGCTTTGACTGTAACAAATACTCAAATATCTTTTGAAAACAACCATGTCCCTGATGGCCAGATGGTATCTCCCCAGAGTACCTAGAAACAGTATCTTAAAACATGCATGGACTGTTGTGTGGCAGATCAACTGTGCAAGGGTCTGTCCTAAAGTTGCTTTGCTGATAAATCCCTTCCCTCGCACATCATCTTGCCAGTTCATGCAATGTGCTATCCAAAAAGGTGTCATCGCAGAACAGTGCAAATCACCAACTCATTTTTCTTCTCCTATGCACGGACCCCTGCAGTCCTGATCGTTCATGGTAAGATACCCCGAAGACCTTCACAAAGCAAACCAAAGCTACTCCTGGGCGACTCCAATCTCTATTCCACTGCACAGACTCCTGAATTTTCTAGTTGCTTTCAATAGTCTGCATTTCCTAATTAAACAGATAATCTCATTGTATAAAGCAGCTAGAATGTCTTCATGCTAATTTTCCTTCCTCAATACCTTTCCAGGGGTGGTTTGCAATATTCATTGTATTTTACTATAGGTGCATGCTGACTCTATCTTGTTTACAAAATATACATGCATATATGTATGCATGGTTTATACATTTCTACCCACTGGCATCGAAAACAGCATTTTATAGTTGATAAGTCATTTGTGAGATTTTTGTCCTTTAAGAGGCATAGTACCAAGATTCCCCCCACATCTGTTCCTTTGCTAAACATTCTCCTGATTTTGTTCAAAAGAATCTCTAAAATATTAAGTCTAAAAGAGCACTTCTCCACAGATTAGCACAAAATGACTATCTTTGCAATGACAAATATCTTGCTTTTTTAACAGTTCTATTAAAATTCTGTCTTCCTCTTGATTGTTCAGAGGAACCTAGACAGGCTGGAGAATTGGGCAGAGAGGAACCTCCTGAGGTTCAACAAGGACAAGTGCAGGGTCCTGCACCCGGGGATGAATAACCCCAGGCACCAGTACAGATTAGGGGCTGACCTACTGGAAAGCAGCTCCGTGGAGAGGGATTTGGGAGTCCTGGTTGACAACGGGTTAACCATGAGGCCGCAGTGTGCCCTTGTGGCCAGGAAGGCCAATGGGCTCCTGGCTGCATCAGGAGGAGCGTTGCCAGCAGGGCACAGGATCCTGCCCCTCTACTCAGCTCTGGTGACGCTGCACCTGGAGCACTGGGGACAGTTCTGGGCTCCCCAGGACAAGAGGGACATGGAGCTTCTAGAGAGGGTCCAGCCGAGAGCCACAAAGATGATTAAGGAACTGGAGCATCTATCGTATGAGGAAAGACTGAGTGAGCGGGGCCTGTTTAGTCTGGAGAAGAGAAGTTTGAGAGGGGATCTGATCAATATGCGCAAATACCTGAGGGGAGAATGTAGGGAGGATGGGGCCAAACTCTTCTTGGTGGTGGCCAGTGACAGGACAAGGGGTAACGGGTACAAGTTGAAACACAGGAAGCTCCACCTCCCTGTGAGGAAGAACAGAGCCCTGGAACAGGCTGCCCGGAAAGGCTGTGGAGTCTCCTTCTCTGGAGATCTTCAAATTCTGCCTGGATGCCACCCTGTGCCACCTGCTTTCAGAGTTGTCCTCTGGGAAAATGGAGTGCAAGGCTAAAAATCCGTCTGAGGCAAAATATCACCAGCTGTCCCTAAAATAGGCACTTATAGTAGGCCTCCCAGTTTTTGGAAAGATTCATGTCTGAAACTACGTAGAAAATACATTTCTTTTAAATGGAAGACACAATCTTTTTCAACTTGTCGGGATAAAAAAAAATGTTAGAATGCATTTTAAATTAACACAAGGTCAACATTCAAGCCTATAAGCTGTGCTTTGCTTAGACAAATAATTTTGGAAGTCTCAGAATCACCCTGCTTCAGGTTCCTGTGAAAACCCAATCTGGTTATGAAGGAGGACAGCACCATTCAGCTGGAGGCACAGCGCACCTCCTACTTCATCTCTTCCCCCTAGTATATTATAAAACACGAGGCTGGAACTTTAAGGCTATACCAATATCTGCGCTCAGTGCATATTTTTATACAGGAAAAATCTGTTCAAGATAACCAGGAAATCTGTGTCTAGTACAAATAAGACTTTCCTAAATTGACATCTCCTTTGAGATTAA